CATCAGGTTTGTGTACTGTTTTCATTGTTTTCATTCAAGACTGGGGGTTTTCATTCTAACAAACGGTCTTTAGAGTCTCAGTTTGTGACATCATGGGACGAGATTCCAGATCTAGATCTCGGCCGGGGGCCCAATACCGTCGCCATCATCATTCTGGTCGACGGAGCCCTTCTCCTCGTCGGCGTGATTCCAGGGGTCGGGCGCCAAATCGTCGAGATCATCGGGTTCCTCAAGGAGAGGATGCTAGCCAGTACCCCCGGACTTGGCAATCGACTTCTAGTCACTATGACACAAACAAGGAGTATGGGCTTCCTTTTCTTCCTTTTCCCCGTATGATTGAAAGTACGCAATGGTCTCGAAAGCATCAAATTGCGCGCCTACCAGTGGATCAGATCAGAGTAGTGGACATGGTACCCAACGGCATTCAGAACTATGGGCTCCGACTTGTGGCAAACGGACGATATGTGGCTTTTGAGATGTTTCGTACTCGCCTAGATGCTTTGATTGCCTCTACACTTTTCAAGGAACTGTACCGCCAAAAGGATTCCTTTGATGTGTGCAAGGTTTTGGGTCACTTCAGTTCTTCTGATTCTGATTTGAATGAATGGACGGTCAAACAAGAGGCAGTCCAAGCCATGTGTGACAATATTGTCACACATCTCAAACAATTCATGCCCCAAGATTCCGACCAAGCTTTACTGAATCAAATTGAAGAATTGCGTCGCCAAAACGCGGAACTCACAGCTCAGTGCAAATCTCAAACAGAGAGCCCGCCGAATCCTCCATCGGCCCCGTCCACAAAAGCAGCGGGTATTGGTTCCTTTTTCGCCCCCTCCTCTAGTGCACCCCCTACCCTGGCCAAAGCTGCTCCCTCAGCGCCACCCTCCAGCAAACCGCGTGCTTTTGAACAATTTCGTCGCCCTGAAGACAAACCAGCAGCATTCGGCACACAACCTCCTGAGGGGTATGGCAAAGCTAAGATTGATGCGTGGATTCGCAAATTCGTTCCTAAGGCTAAGCAATCTGAGGTTGACACATTATGTCGCGACATGATTGATGAATACAAAGCTTGTGAGGTAGGGGATCAACCTAATTTGGAGTCCATTTTGACCGACTGGGGCCTCACCAGTCAAATTTTGAGCAAAGCTTCTATTGAAAATCAGATTCGTTTGCTGGCAGCTGTTCAGCATGTTAAGAATCAGTGACTATCTTTGCCTAAAGACAGTGTAGGTCCTGTCAGTTCAGATGGGCAACTGTGTGCATTCCATGAATTCAGAAGGTTTACGAAATCTGTTCGGTCCTACTGTAGACGACTGTTACTGAATGGATGTCAGTGGATTGCATGTCTCCTTCAATTTTCGAACAACCTACCTTGGAATCTCCAACAACTTTTGATGTGGATTTTGAGTCAATGGACAGCTACTTCATTGCTTTTATTGGCATATAATCAAACTCAGCGTCGGATCCTCAGCATTTTTCGCTTCCTGCAACTGCCTCAGTACTGGACGTTTGAGTGGTGGTCACAAACAAACGTGGTGTATATGCGATTACATTGGATTGGAGAATTCTATATTGGGAGCACGGAAACTACGGTTTTTCTGCGAGAGCAATCTCGCACACGCAAATACAAACAACATGTGGCGCAACAGTTGGCTTTCTTTGAACCTGCCATCAAACTATGGTGTAAACGAGGCAATTTCTACCAATTTTGCATTTTCCCTGTTCGTTCTCAATGTGGGGACGCTGAACATCGCTTGAGCCTGGAACAAGCTTTACAACAAACATCGCGGCCTATTTACAATTGGCCTTGGATCAACCCTCTATTGAAACGTTGGCGAATTGGAAAGACACGTTTTGGTTTCACATCGGTTAAACCAACAGTGGCATTTGGACGTAGATTGGTACGTCGATACAAGAAACGCACACGAGCCCAACATTGTTCTCTATTTGAGCAGCAATTTGACAATCATTTGCGTATTTCTCGACTTCTTTACATGTTGGGATCTGATACACTGATGAAATTTGAATGTTCGAAATTATTGAGATCATCTCAAGCTGATCATGACTACATATTTTTGCTATGCAGATTGAGTCGAAATTTGACAGAACCTCTTCGGTCACGAGCTCAGCAGCAACTCAAGCTCATTTTGCAGTTCCGGAACTCAGAATTTCCACCTGCTAATGTACCTGTGCAATTACTTATTCTTGACGATGAAATGGAATCACAAATGAGGTCTTGGCTGAATGGCTTTATCGTACATCACCAAGTCAATTTTCCTCCTTTCCACAAACCCAAGGTACCTTTTGTTTCAATCAAGGGTCGTACTCTGGGGTCATATCTTTTCAATTTTCGACTGCACTTGCGTTGGTGGCACCCAACTGACAGACCTACTTGCAGATGCCATTTGTTACCAAAGACGAGCATTTCTGAAACACCTCATGTTTCTATTTTCGCTGCTGATATCTCTGGTATCTGTTCTGTGTACACTGCTCATATGGAGGACCAAGTCAGTCCATCTTGGAACAAGTTTATGGACCAGAATGCATCCAGCTTTGAAAAATGTTTGGAACGATGGAAATTGCCTTCTTCGCTTATGCAGTATTGGCAACATTTTCTTCAAGAACTGTGGGTGAATTATACACCTCATCATTCCAAGCATTGGTCACACAATGAAGTCGCTCAGGCCGCTGTTCATTTACGTCATTTCGTGACTTCTCCTGCTGATCATTTTCCCCATTCTTTATGTATTCATTGTCCTTGTCAATGGCATGAGTTGCTGATTCGGACATTTTTGGATGAAAATGTATTCACTCCCTGTAAAGCTACTCCAGTACAGACTGTACAACAGATTCGCAATTCAGTACCTGAGTGGATTTTTCGACATTACGCATGGGGCTTGGATTTCAGTGCGAAACTCAGCACGGGGTGCATATTACCAAAACCTATTCGCATGTTCAAAAAGGCTAGACCCATTATCAACTATAGCACATCGTGGCCGCGGAAGTTGGGCCAAGCCATTGGCATCGCATTATTGGAAATCCTCAACATTGTTTATTATGATCTTTTGAAACTTCAGGATGTACATGCTGCACTTGAACAAATTCGTTTGCTGTTCCAAGTTATTGCTACTGATGAACGGACATTTGAACTCCATCAATCTGACATCGCTGGCTTCTACAATCAAGTGGAACATGATCGAATTCTCCAAGCTGCTGATTTCGCAATTCATCGTTTCTGTGCTCTGCAACGAGTATCTTTCGAATCGTCTATACAGACACACACAATCACAAGTTGGAACGCACACTACGTATTTTTCGGGGTCATTGGCGATCTCAGAGCAAGCAGTTTCGAGAATTTAAACTGGCTCATATTCGGGATTTGGTAAAATTCTTACTTCACAATTCGTTCTTTCACGTCGGGACCCAAGTTTTTCGCCAACATCGTGGTGCGTCTATGGGCTCACAATGGGCGCCTATTTTATGTTCGGCTGTTGCATTAATGAGAGAGTACAATTTTTTTCCAGGTTTATCCCATGTTATTGTCACAACCATACTTTGCACATCATTACGTAGACAATCGAGCCCTTATTCTTCCGGCAAATTGTATGCATCAACGTCAGATCCAGTTATTCTGGAAACTGGATTTTTATACTGCTCCTATACTTCTGGAAAAAGTTACTGGGAATCAATTGTCGGGTTTTTGCATTGACACTGATCAACGAACTATCACTTTCTGTCAACCCTGGACACAAATTTTGCGTAGCTGTCGTGGAAGTGGCGCATCTCGTAACATCAAGAGTGGGATCACAGCTCGTGTTCGCCTCATTTTACACAATGTTTGGCCATCACATGTACGAGATGCTCAGATTCAAGATTTCGTCGGACTGACTTTTTCACAATTTCCTTCCTTGTTTGATTCTTCGTTTCGTGAACAACTTGTAACATTATGCCGTAGCTTTCATTGTCGATTGTCCCACCAAGAGATTTTCAGATTCGCCAAGGGAGAAAACCGGTTTGTGGTTTTGCCCCATTTCGGGGCTAATGTGTGTGTGTGTGTACACCGTTATAACAAACGGTTTTAGTTCTTTTCATTGCTCTTGTACTATTCTAAAAAGCAGGGGGCAGAGGTACCCATGTCATTTCCTCTGCCAACGAAGCTGGGTGACATGTGGTAAGGATTTAGATCAGGGACGCCTGATCTACGTACCTGCTATAGTTTCAACTGTTGACTTTCTGTTCTTGTTTATGAGCTGTGCGTTGTTTCTTCGATCGCGAATCTGGGTCCGCTGAAATTCTACTGCCAGGCAACTCAGGAAATCAGGCGAAGACTATGACATCATTCACACTTTTTACTTACCATTACCCCACAGTGTGTAAAAGTGTCTCTGTGTATATAAACGTTTCTGTGTGTGGAAGCATCTGCGTGTGCAAGCGTTTGTGGGTAAAGGGTTTTGTGTGTAAAGGCACCTGTGTGTAAAAGCATCTGTGTGTAAAAACGTTTTTGTGTAAAAGTGTCTCTTTGTAAAAGCTTCTGTGTGTAAAAGCGTCTGTGTGTAAAAGCGTCTGTGTGTAAAAGCGTCTGTGTGTAAAAGCGTCTGTGTGTAAAAGCGTCTGTGTGTAAAAGTCTCTATGTGCAAAAGCGTCTGTCTGTGAAAAGTTCTGTGTGTGAGAAACTATACGAAAGATACGATGCAAACTATTGTCTTGTGTTTGTGATATATTGTCTTGATACTATTCTTCTCGTCTGCCTATAATACATCTTTAATATATTGTCTTGTAAAATAGTGTCTCCATACTAACAACAGAAGACTCTGCTCCTCTACGCTCTCGGGCCATCCGTCGTCTAGTTTTTACTACGAATGGCGATCCAGGTCACACACACACATATATATATATAATGCATATATAATGCATCTACTTTCATTTATTTACATACTTACGTTTATTTGTTTTGCACAGGCCTAGGGCTCATTGATCATGGATTGTGTCATTGAAAGCAGGAAGTCTTCTTGAAAGATGACCTCGACGTCCAGAAACTTGCTGAGTACGTGCGGCCACTGAGTCTCCCGTTCTGATCTTGAGTTCGTCCGAGCTGCGTTGCCAGCAGATGATGCCAAGGCGTTGTCGCAGGCAAAAGCTGGTGCGGTTCCCTTCATGAAGATTCCTTCTGCCTTACGTTCAGCAGAGAGGACAGTGTGGCTCTTAGGTTTCAGTGCAAAGATCTTGCTGCCGTGACGATTCTTGCTGCGGCTCTTTACAGGTCCGAAAGAACTTCGCGCTGAATCCGAATCAGCCGGTTGCACAGGAGATGCTGCCGTAATATGCTGCAGCCTGCAGCATGGTGGTGACATGGTGACTTTCCGTGGTTGCTGCCTGCTGCAGGAGCGACCCCAGACTGTGCCAACGGAACCCGCAAGCGGAGACGCGAAGTTGTTGATGTCAGAGGCAGGGAACTTACTCTGTTCTGCACACTGAGGGACTGCAGTTTGAACTGCTCAGATGTCATGTTTCATTGGTGCTAACCAACCATACAGATCCATAAACTATACAGTGAAAGTGTGTGACTCCAACTTGTTTTCAGCTCTGAGGCACTGTCGCCCAAGTCGGACTTTTGGTCCTCTCGCAGAGCCTGGGCAGTTTCCTTTCGTGCGTGCACTATTTGGATTACCTTTGGGACATCGGAATTGGACCAAATTTTGATTTAGTGGACAAATACTGTCTTGACAACGACAAAGCCCGTGCCTGTTTTCCAAACCAAAATGCCTGCGGTATACAGGTGCACTTCTGTGATTTGTGCGTGTCATCCATCGCACCTGACAGACTCCCCCAATCGTGATTTGCACGATTCGAAGGACAGATCGGCTCCCTGCCGAAAACGCATTGAATTTGAAATTTGAATTTCAAGACAAAATTAAAGGACCTAAAATTTGTAGGCTCAAGGCATTTTATCCTTTCCGGGATGACCTTTCCATTTTTTATACATCGCCGACATTTTTGCAGGCGACCATCCCTTGCCTCTATGTTCATGTTGAAAAAGGTTCCATGGGTTATGTAAAGTCATTTCAGACCTTTCACCCCCCAAAAGTGCCTCGCTCACTTCGCCAGCACGCTGCATCAGCGCATTCTCAATGCCACCACCAGCCGCAGCGCTCTCGGAGATCCACGCAACAGCAGCCAAAGCCTGCTCAAGGCCGGAAGCATCAGCAAAATGTTCAGCGCCGCTCGACGAAGAGGCCTGCACAGGGCCAGAAGAAGCCGCAGAGGCCTGCACAGGGCCAAAACTCATAGATCCGCCAGCAGCCGCATTTGTAGATCGCAAGGCCTGCACAGGGCCAAGATCAGCGCTGCTTGAAGAAGAGGCCTGCACAGGGCCAGCACTGCTCGAAGATGCTCCTGCAGCCACATTCGTAGATCGCCTGGCCTGCACGGGGCCAACACCAGATCCAGCAAAATGGGCCTGCTCAGGGCCAGCACTCTCGGCAGTTATGGAGACTGTAGACGTTGAACTTGAGGCCTGCACAGGGCCAGACACACGCAAGGACATAGCGATGGGGGCCTGCACAGGGCCAGCACTTGAAGATCCAGCTGAAAGGGCCTGCACAGGGCCAATGTTCAAAGATCCAGCTGAAAGGGCCTGCACAGGGCCAACGCTATTTGAAGATCCAGCTGAAGGGGCCTGCACAGGGCCAGAACTGCTTGAAGTGCTCGCTCGCCGCCTCAACCCAGATCTTCTTTCATCATCATTTTCATCATCCCTTTTGGTAGTGGAGCATGTTGATGAAGCTTGCATCTCACCAGAAGGCTTTGACGGCGCAGACAACCACACTTGCAATCGACGCATGCAGCATTGACCAGCTTGAACTGCTAGCTTGCCAGCATAGATTGCCCCCAGGATCATCAAAACCACCGCAGCAATCCAAAGTGGATCCGCTTCATCTTGTTCTCCCTTGATTTCCAAAACTTCGGCTTCGGCCAAAAGAGTCTGCCCCACCAAAAAGCTCATTGCAGAAGCTGCCCCAGCATGAACACGTTCTCTGCTGCCATGGCTTCGCACTTGAGCAGCACGTATTTCAGGGTCTTCGGGCCTCAAAAACGGCGCATTCATGCCCAGGTTTTCCACAAAACGTTGAAAGGCAGCTCCAAAAAGAGGCTTTGTAAAACCATCAGCAACTAAGTCAAGGCCACGCACATGGATCAGCTTCCATTGGCCTCCAGCTGCATCAGTTTCATCCAGCGCTTGTTTCAAAAGGCTTGCTCTGATGCGCAAGTGTCTTGTACGCCATGAAGAAGCTGTAGTTCCATTGGCCAGTCCAATCGCGGCAATGTTGTCACCATAGATGACTTTCATCACAGCTGTAACGCCTGTGAGCTCCATCACCAGAGCTTCAGCTGCTTTGCCAGCGATCAGGCCTTCACAGTAGCTAACCAACTCAGCTTCAGCCGTACTGTGGGTGACAAAAGGTTGTTGGCTTGTTTGCCAACAGATCGGCTGACCACCAAGGCAAACAACGATCCCCTGGACGCTTCTGTGGCCAGAACCTGCTGAATAGGCTATGTCGCAGAAGATCTCCAGGAGCAGGTCACTTCTTTTCACCTTCAGCTGGCCATGGGCGCCCCAGTCATCAGGAACATGCGTTGTATACCTCAGACCAACGCCAGGGTTTCCCTTGACGTATTTCATCAACGTTGTGCCGATCTGGATGGCTTTGACAGGAGCCTTTGTCATGAGCCTGCTCATTGTTGCAACTCCATGAGCAAGGTCAGGTCGTGTTCGGGAACTCAACCACAGCAAAGAACCAGCCATAGCTTGAGCTGTCCTGACATCATTTGGGTCAGGGCTTTCTTCAACTTCTTGATCCTCAGCAACTTTGTAGTGAGGATATTCAACTCCTTCATCAACATTCCAACGTTGCAACATCTCCTGCTCGTACATGTGCTGGTTGACATGAAAACCATCGTCTTTGGCATCTTCAGAAATCTCAAAACCGCAGTACTTGAGAGGCTTGTCAACACCGGCCCACTCCACAGAAGACGTTGTCCAAACTCCAAAGAGAGCTTGTAGAGCGCCATGAACTGCAAACTCCTCACCAGTGACCAAGATGTCGTCCACATACACCGACATGAGGCCATTCCAGTGGATGAAGCCAGATTCATCCAGTTCTTCCAAGCGCCAAACGTTTTCATCTTTTGTTTTCTCAAAACTTCCAGTCAGCGGCCCGTTTTGACCTTGCCTTGTCCACTTCAGTGTTGGCAAACTGCATCACGGTGTAGACACCAGTCCCTTGGTGAAGCCTGGAGTCCGTACATTGCCAGCATGATGAGCCAAACTTCATCAGGTCCAGCCAGGCCCAACATTTTGTACACATGCGGCACTTCCATAGCTATGAGTCTGGAGTCTCTTCTCGGCGCATTGAGGAACGCCGTTCGTATGTCTGTTGAAGCAGCTTTCCACTTGTACTGAGCACTGATCCTTAACATTGTTCGGATCTGTTTTGCGTCAGCACCTCCAGCGTACGTGTTGTCGTCGTTTGGTGTCTGGTAGTTTCCACACACCACTGCTCTGGAGCGATATGCTCCTGTTCCAGCCTTTCTTGTGTGAACCATTTTTTGCTGGAAGGATCTCCAAAGTTTTGTTCTGCACTTCAGCCATTTTTTGGAGTTCCGTTCTTGTCATTGGTTTGACAGCCTTTTTGTTGACGACAAGCTGCTCATACTCGGCCTTGATGGATTCAGTCCAATCGGCAAGTTTTTCACGAACCTCTTTGTTGCTGACCGTTTTGGTGACCAAAAACTCATGAGTAAGCTGTTGTTGTTCTTCAGCTCGATCTTCATCCGCAAGCAGTTGAATTTGTTCTTCAACTTCAACCTTTTTGACCAGAGCTTTGTTGAGCTCAGGGAGACACCACATTTGTTCAGGGAAGGTGCCATCAAGCTTGCAGATCTCCTCGGCTATATAGTCCGAGACATTGTCGTGGATGGTTTGGAGGGCTTGTATCTTTGACATTCTAACTAGAACATTTCTTGATACATTTGAGGCCGCAGAGCTTGAGCCACCGTCTCTGCTGTTAGGCGCCTCCCCCAAATCCTCCTCCACATCACTTTCCTCCTCCTTTTGATCATGAACTTCATCAGTTTCTGTTTGCCCCCCATCACCATCCTTTTCATCATCATGCCCTGGTCGCGGAGCATCATGAACCTCTTGTTGTTCTCGAGGTGGATGTTGTTGTGCTGGAGAAAGCGTTGTTTCCAAAGTCCATGAACCTTCAGAGGCAACTTCATTGTCAGGCGGCAGCGCAAACTCAAACGCACTGCCAAACTTTGCAAGGATGCGCTTCTCCCCCTCAATGTGCAACATTGACATAGTGGCAATTGCTGGAGGCGGAGCTGTCTTTGATCTCAATCTTCGTGCTGGCACACCATCACAAAAAAGCGGTTGAGCTTGTCTTTCATCACGTTCAGGGAGATATGGCAAAACTTCTCCCCCGGGACCAGCATCGACAGCTGCATTCATGCCATCATCCGCAGGAATCACCACATCATCAGTGTAGAAGCACCTTTCCGTTGCAATTGCTTTGACATAGTATGTTGTGGTGGTTATAGAAGATCCTTCAGCGGGGCCCCACACCACAACTTCTTCTCGGCAATCACGCCATTGAGCGTAGCGATCTTGCCAGCTTTTCTTGAGGGCATAGGCTTTGGAGCCAAACCTCAAAAGTTTTCCAACTGGCCAACCTGCTTGGTTGAGTTGATTGCGGAGACGTCTTTCTCCAACATGTCGCACCGCAAGAGGCCATCTGTCCAAAGGGCATGCTCCAGCAGAGATCAAAGTGCGGACACCTTTTTTGATCATCCCAACTTCGTTTTCAGCTCTGCCATTTGTTTTGAAAGCACTGCCAGGTGTCATAGTTTGAACTATTCCACGGTCAAGACACCATTGATGGACAGGTTTTGCCAAAAATTCACGTGCACGGTCACTATGCATTCGGTACACAGGGCAACCCAAAGAGCGCAAACGAGCATAGATCTTGGCGATCGCCGGCAGCACGTTGTGCACATTTCGATCTGCAATGGGCTCTGCAAAAGTGAGGTTGCGCACAGTGACATCCTTGGACTCATTGATGAGGCGCATCCAAGTGTCGTGCATTCCATAGGCTGACTTCACTTCTTCATCTTCCACAAGGTCAGGAACCGATTCTTCTTGGAGAGGATCAGGTTCATCTTGTGCAACACCTGCAGGAAGACCTTGTTCATGTCGAGCTTCATGGCCCGCTTGTTGTTGATCTCGTTCAACATGTTGTTGAGGTGGTTGACCATCTCCAGGTTGTTGTTCTTGAGGATCACCAGAGAGCTCAGGGTCATCAAGGCCAGGCAAAGGGTGATCTTCCTCTTCATCTTGGTCAGGGCGCAGCAAGAGTGGTTTCCCCTTTTTGTTGACGGGGTATGTGTAAACTCCAACCAAGAAGTATTTGTTGGTACCAGGAGTTTGGTCCTTGCCACCAGTCATCCGACCAGACATGTCCAAGCTCAAAGTGAAGCTTTCAGGATGACAAACTCGGCGATGTGCTCGACTGCGACCTTGAGAACGTACACAGTGGCTGCAATCTCGACGGGCCGGCATGTGGTCCTGCATGTAGTGTTGCTTCCATTGTTGAAGGGCAACATTTCCAATTGCAGCGACACCAACAGGTCGGACATCGTCATCGGCGTAAACAACGCCAGTAGGATCTTCAGGTCCTTCACGTGGAGGCGCTTCACGGCGGATCCATCTGCTGATTGCTTCAGCAACTGCAGCCTTCAAACCAGGTGCCCAAGCCGCCCAAGTTTTTGACATAGCACATCTTTCTTTCACGCTGAGTTCTGGTAGCGGAGCAACTTCAGGTTCAGCTCCACGACCTCGCACATCTTGTAGCTGCATCATCTCATTCATGTTGATCAAGGCCAAAGTGGTTGGCTTTCGTTTTGGGTGTCCAAAAGGCCCTTGATCAAAGGAGATCAGCTTGGCGTTGTAGGCTTCTTGGAAGCTTTTCCATTCCTGAGTTCTCCACATTGAAAAGTACTGGTGCTCATCCACATCCTCCTTCTTGCGGTATTCCGCTGGGTCTTGGGGTTGTTCACAAAGAAATGCAGTTTGAGCTTGTTCTTTTGGACGCACTTCTTCGCAGAGGATGTACATCAGCATCAACCGGAGCCACAGAATTGAGTCATTGGTGACCAATTCAGCTTGTTGTGGAGTCAATGATGGCAAACCGTATGGGTGATCTTCTGTTCGAAGAATTGGTGGACCATCATCTTTTTGAAACCTGAGAGCACTTGTTGTTCTGCATGGAGGGCCTCCAAGTAGAGCTTTGACACGTTTGCTGGCGCACAAGGAAAGCAAAAACGCAAAGGTTGTTTCATCCAATGCATTTGAAGGTGTTGAGGCTTCCAAGTCCACGCACAGCACCTCAGTGTGCTCATTTGACAAACGCCGCTCCCAGTAAGAAGCATCAGGTCCACTGTACATGTGGATGATCACATTCTTTGCCATCATGAGTCTTTTTCGCTTTCTGCGATTCCATGGAAGGTTCAAGCCGATGTTTGGGTCCGTGAGCACTGAAAGATCTGGGACCAGCTTCAACGCCAAATCTTCAGGCAAAGTCGGCATGACCTCCTTGAGCTTGACAAGCATCGCCATTTCAATGCTCATTTTGTCGCCAAGACCGGCAGCCCCTCTTGTCAAGATTGACTTCAAGGTCATCTTTTTCAGCTCTTGTTGAATTTGATGCTGTTCCAACACCGTCAGCAGCTTTGCTCCAAATTCATGAGCAACGTAGGGACATCCATTGTGAAGTTCCACATCAACCTTGTCTCCAGCTTTTGTGTAGAGATGGCACATGTGGTCTTTCCACACCAACTTGTAGTTGAGCTCGTTCAAGCATCCCATCGGAACTATCCAAGAGGTATTTTCAGGCCGAAGGAGAGGATCGGAAAGCAAAACTTTGGTGCCAGGCTTCAAACGGAGGCTTTCTGTGACACCATCGGCCAACATCACCTGAGTTCTTGTGCCCGACTGCCATTCTTCTTCTGAAACTGCAGGACGTAGGCCATGTGTTGCACCAGAGTCCAGCAACACCATTTGAGCATGAGGCTGCAGATTTGACAGTCGCATCACCTTCAGGTTGGGCATACGCAAAGACTTCAGCAACTGAGTGGCTTCTGCCAACAGTTCAGTGGTCGCAGGAGTGGCAGCTGGAGCTCCCCCCTTATCCACCTCCGAGGTTGCACTAGATGAAGTCCCAAGGGAGTTACTCTCAGCACCCAGTCCTGGACCATCAGCGCTTGTACTGGAGGAAGTTTGATCAGTTGTTGAGCTTGCAGCTACACCATCATGACCTTTTCCAACTGAAGCTTGCTTGACAGCCGCTTTGTTGTTTGCTGCAGCTGCATTTTGATTTCCACGTCCTCCCCCCAAACCAGAGTCATTGGACGAAGGTTTGTTTCCAGAACCCTTGACACGGCATTCTGTCCTTCTGTGCTCCTTGGAGCCGCATATCCAGCATCGACTGCCTTTGTCCTCTATGTTGTCCCAACTGTGAGACCACTTGCAGTTTTTGCCAGCCTTGCATCCACCATCACTCTTGAAAAACTTGCATGGTTGCTCCGCCATAGGGGTTGACACTCCTTTGCCAGACTTGCCATAGTTGCCAGGAGTGCCTGGCTTTTGAGGTGAGTTGGATGCTTCGGCGTCCATTTGCTTGAGTCTCACCGGTGTGCTCGCACTTGTAGACGTTGTAGAAGAGGACTTCAGCAAGCTCAAAGTTTCTGCCTCAGCCAACAAACACTGACTGAAGCTCCAAATTGACTGCTCCGTAGGACGTTGATCCAGTGCAAGTTGTTGTCGGCTTGTGGAAAGCCTGAACGCTGCTTGGGAGTCTTCCTTGGCGATCTGGACAACCGCAGCTTCAAGTGTCTTGATCAACAGCACTCCATCAGGCAAACTTGCATCCACCTCCCTAGCCCTTGCAAAGTATCGCCGCCATGTTCTCAGAGACGAAGCCAAGTCCTGCATCGTAGATGCCTTTTGCAGTGAGGTCAATTGCCCCAAGAGGATTGCCTTTTCACCTGGTCCTCCTGGTTGATGCCGCACATAGAGGCGGAACAAAATTGCCGTACTGGTCAAATCTCGATCCACCACCAACTCCTTCTGCTGCTCTTCGCTCACCGCCTTGAGCAACAAGGTGACGCCCCTCTGCTCCGTTCTGATGAAGCCGCTTGCCATCAGTTCATCAGGAAGACGAGGGCAAAGTTGAACTCGCTGAAGAGGTGATAGTCCCTTCCATTCCATGTAGAAGGCGTATGCTTGGCGCACCGTAGCATCCCACCATCTTCCAGCGACATGTGACAGGTCTTTCATGATTGGCCCACAAAGACAAAGCCAATCTCCAAACTCCAGAGGCGATGCACCATTCGGCAACACAGGTAGTTCAGCTTTTCCGCCGCCACCTCCTCCAGAAGCTTCCCAAGATGCCGGCATTGGTGCGACACCCATAGATCCATGCCCTTGAACTCCACCATGAGGACCACCTTCTTGATGAAGACCATGAATATCGCGCATCGCTGCTGCACCATGTAGAGCTTGTTCAGGGTGTAGTTCTCCATGCGAAGCCCGATCACGTTGAGGTAGATCTGGAAGCCAAGCCCGATCATGTTGAGGTAGATCTCCATGCCAAGCCCGATCACGTAGAGGAAGTTCAGCATGCAATGCCCGATCACGTTGATGTAGATCACCATGCAATTGCGGAGCCCGACCGAGTCCAGGTAGATCTCCAAACAGCTGCTGTGCCCGATCGTGAGCTGATACTTCACCACGTCCACCATGCCAAGCCCGATCTTGTTGAGATACATCTCCACTTCCACCAGATAGGGCTCGATCACCATAAAGCGGACGATTGGCAGCTGCTGCATGTGACACATCAGGAACATGACATTCCATTTTTTCCGCAAAACTACCATTCCAGTATCCAGACTGTCGAATTGCATCAGGAACCGAAACACGATTCAAAGCAGTTTTGAGAGACTGAACCTCCCGCTCTAGCCATACCTGTTTCGCCTCACTGGCTGTCATGACATCATCCCCAGCGTTTTGACCACTCTGAGGTTTCCATAACTTGTCACCATTTTTCACATGCGGTTTTGACTCACATGTATCATACAAGTTGCTGACAAAACTTGTTCCTTCCACCAGCGGCTCACCTGCAACTGTTGGAAACGGTGGGACTGGAGGCAACATCGGTTCATCCCTTGGCGGAGGACCTTCAGGTACTTTGGTCCCATTTGGCGTGAACCGCACCAAACCTCCTTTTTCACAAGCCCCAGGACTAACTGCACGTTCACGTGTTCTATGCCTAGGAGTTCTACTTCCACCCCTACCATGACGCTCCGTAGGAAAGGTTCCATTTCCACTTGAACCCTCTAACGAAGTTCCATTCACAGCAGACCATGGTGACGAAGCATCCCCAGAACCGGCTTTCACTTGCACATGCTGCAGTTGCCCCTTTAGACACTCCAACTCTTGCATGAGTTTGGAATTTTGACATCTCAAAAACTCCACAAGCTCGCCTTCGAGGGCGCGCTGAAGGCCATCACTGCTTTCTTCCGCACTATTTCCCGCAGAGTTGACTTTGCCTTGTGACAACACCGGACCATCACACCCTGGCATCCGCCCTTCAGTCCTCATCTCGCCAGATCCATGTTCTGTAGGAAATGGAGTTCCTGAGCCATCACAAGCTACACCTCCACGTCCCTTCCCAGTAGATTCTGCTGACGATTGATGAAACTGAACGGATCCTCCAGCTCTGGCATGGTCAGGTCTTTCATTCCAGCTTCCATCCACAGGTAGTGCAGAAGGCCTTGACGCCTGTAACCTGCATTCATCTTGAACTTTCTGCGACCAAAAAGGATTGCTTTCCATTCGGTCATCCACAGGCACTGATTTCGATCTTTCCATGATCCTAAAAAAGGCGTAGGGTTGGGCTCATAACCCTTGACAACGACAAAGCCCGTGCCTGTTTTCCAAACCAAAACGCCTGCGGTATACAGGTGCACTTCTGTGATTTGTGCGTGTCATCCATCGCACCTGACAGAACTGTAATGGGCAGATCCAGGAAATTCTGGGAAGACTTTCGTTCTAGATTAATTACAAGGAAAGGATTCATTACAATCAATGGGTGGGTTCTGCCTTCGCTTTTCAAATGCATATGTGCATTGCAAAGGAAAAAATTTGGTCAGCTTTCGCTCGCTCCCTGAAGAGCAAGTGAGCATGTTGCGGCAGAAATGCAGAGAGAACAACGTCACAATGCCCGGACCTCTGCGAGGGCATCGGATAGACATCCTTTGTGCTTACGTGTGGGTTTATCCAATAAAAGGGATACTACTCCAGAGTGCAGATTCTTGGCAAACTGATGGACCATCAAGTCTCGGGGCACCCTATATCTTCTGGGCTCATGCTCAGATTCTCTGCCAGGTCCATGGCCATTGCCACAGCAGCCCTGCTGGCAGCCAGCGACATTGCGAATGACGACTTAGCTGCTTGCTCAATTGCTTGAACCCATGGAACAATGGAACAAATAATTGGTTTCTGTCAATGGGCTCCTGCAAAATGATGCAAACTGATGCAGAATGTAGAAGAGTGGGATAGTGGCAGATGCCCACTTTCTGTCTGGAGTTTGACACTGCGATTTTTGCATCTTAGGATTTTGCATACGAAGCCTATCGCTTGCTCATGGGTGGCTTGACTTCAAAATGCTGCATTGCTGTGGCTGCAATTCCTGCGAAGCTAAGGCGTTGACATGAGGCGCTTCGCTCCTCAGGGTGACTGGACCAAAGACACCATGGCATATGCTTCTGGCCACTTTGACTGCACAGCGCCTATTATGACATATCATGCACGACTGCCAACTACAATGGACCAAAGGAGATCAGTTCGGGTAGCTCCTTCAAGACTGTAAATTTCCAGGAGCTGCAACATTCCAGTGGCACATTTATGTGCCCAATTCTATCATCCTCAGCTACCCCCCAGTTTCAAGAAAGATAAGAAAGGGTGAATCAGGTGCACTGGACTTCAGCTTGCGACTGCTACTTGGCTGGATAGATCTGGATAGGGATGGGGCTGGAAGATGCTGGAAGCTCATCCCGAAACCACGATATGCCACGGCCACAGAGCCACGGCCAGGCTGCCCAAAAGTGGTGCTGCTTTTGCAGCAGAAGGTGCCAATGAATCTTTGAGAACCCGCATCGGAGGCAGGACGAAGATGGACGAAGCATGACTAAGCCATGCTGCAGGATGTAGATAAGAGATGATACGAGTGCGTTTATGATCGTTTATGATCATTTTACAATCTTTTCTGTCATTGCACTAGTGGGGTTGTGCCGAAAGCAAGGTTACGAGTTGGAAGGGAAATAGCATTTTTTATACCATTCTTCCTCTCAGATCCACTTGGCTCAGGTGTTCCATTCTGGGACTTGGCACGAGCTTCAGCTCATGCTGTACGTTTGTGGATAGAGAAAGGCTGGCAGATGAGATCATCGGGACAGATTGTGGTTGCGTGCATGTGCCCACCATAAATGGACACAGTGAGATGGTGTCAAACAATGTCAGACATGTACAGTACACACATACACACTCACACACACACATATATATATATATATACATGTATATATGTAGATATATAGTATTGTAACATTGCATGCCATAGATACAAACATCAAAACAGTAGCAACACGTGTCCCGACATGTGTATACAGATATTGATTTACTGCGTGTTATAATTATAATTATATATATATTATTTAATGTAATGTATATGTCCAATCACCATCAATGTCAGTTTTCATGGTTCAGCCATTTGAACATTTCACTTCCGTTGGCAGAACATGTCATTCATATGTTTGTGACGTTCCTTTTACATCTCAAAAGGGACCCCTTCAGCCTGTCTAACAAACGTTAGACTTTGCGGCTACTGTTTTCTTTTGGTGCAAACAGTTGCACCTCCTGCGACGCCATACTGGTGGCTAGAAGCCGTTCGTGAGGATTGGCTGAAAAGGAGCGACAGCAAATCGAGAAGTGCAACAAGTTTCTTTGGGTGCAACGTGCACCACTTGCTGTTGTCTTGTGCTACCAGTGTCGCAGTGACACTGGTAGCGGAGCGCTGCCTGAGATCTTCCGCGAGAGTGGTAACGCGGAGTGGAAGGTCTGCAAGGGCCTTGGGGTGAGCCTCACTGCGTGCGGCAAGCAGAACCTCTTGGACCTGGCTTTGCTGCAATCACTGCTTGAGCCTGGAACTTTGCCTCCTTTGGTTGGCGACGCAATCAGAGCTCGAGGGGTGCAGAATATCTACCTAGTGGTGCAATCATTGCTCGTGTGACGGAGTTTGACCCGATTGTCCTCCTGATCACGATGGGTGACAAAGACAAGGATCTTCGATGCGGATGGGATGGCGATATCAGCACCTTCCCAGACTATGTGCGCCGGGTGAGGTTGATCTTCGAGAAGACGAGACGGAGGCGCCGCAAGCACCTTGGCCCCGATCTCGTGGCCCAATTGACAGGCCGTGCATGGGTCATCACCCAGGAGATCGACCACACCAAGCTGACTCAGGACGATGGTGCTCGGTACCTCGTGGACTTCTTGGAGGAGAAGCTCGCCCGAGTACCAGTACCTGATGCAGGTGTTCGTGCAGAAGAACTTTTAGTTCGTCTTCGCCGACCACCGGGAATGACGATGGCTACCTGGTGCGCAACTGTCAGGGAGTCCTACAGGAAGTTGCAAAGGGCTCTCAAGAGGGCAAGGCCGGCATCACAAGCGCCGACTAGCCCTGGTCGTGAGAGCTCAATGGTTCCTTCGCCCTCCACTTTGCGAAGGGATGGGCAATCTCTTGGGACCCCGACACCTGGCTCTACAGCGACTTCACCTTCGAGGAGATCCCGCAGAGCTTCAGCTGGCACAGTGCCAGAACCGGAGCAGATGCCGACTCCAGAACGTCAGGCACACGCTGCTTCAGCAGAACCTCATGGAGATGGAGCAGAAGTTGGTGAAGAAGAAGTTGAAGAGTTTGGAGAAGACCCCATCACCGGGGAAACGTCCTTCCAACGTGGCGTTGCGAAGGGCATGGGAAAAAGGTTTGAATCGCCCTCCAAGTCGCGCTCTGGAAAGCGCAAAGCCGCAGAAGACTCCAGTTCGTCTTCTGATGGTGGCACTGCTTGGCACATGAAGCAGTGGTCTGAGATGGACTCCGGCCTTCCAGAAGTTCTTCCTACGGAACTGCTGGGTTGGTTGATGTTGAGGCGCTGCAACCTCACAGCTCAACAAAGGCTCAACATCTTGAGCACCACCGGCAACTCGCTGAAGGCGGAGGACATCGAGAATGCGCTGAGAGGTGCCGAAGATGAACTACGAGTTCAAGAAGATGCCAAAGGAAAAGGCAAGGGTGGCAGATCCATCAACCGCCCAAACTTTTGGATCGAAGAAGGTGGAGAATGGGGATTGCTGGCTGCAGATGAAGCTGAATTCCTAGAAGGAAGTCTGGATGATGTCCACTGGGTCGGCAAAGACATTGCCGCCATCTATGGGGCTACATCGACTTCACCGCCTTCGACGACCTCAAGCCATCCTATGCCTGCTGAGCCCAAATGGACTTCAGTTTCAAATGGGTACTGGTTCCAAGATGAGTGGGGCCAATTCACCTTCTGGTCACAGCATCAAGATGGCGAGTACTACACCATGGACGACGACGGCGTCTACTGGACATGGCCTGAGTTCATGGAAGAGGCCGCGTGGTGGAGTGCCTCGCCGGAGCAGCAGAAGGAGATCAATGACGCCTTCGCTGCCTATGACCAGAAGATTCGCTCCTTCATGGAATCTCGTGAGCTGCTGCGCAACAAGGGCGCCAGCAGAGGATACTACAAAGGTGGCAAGCCTTTTGGAAAAGGCAAGGGCAAAGGCTTGGGAAAAGGGAAGTCCAAGCCATCTACATCGGCTGGACATGGCTCTCAGACGTTCTTCCAGAACCAGCCGAGTGATGTGCTTGCATCTGTTGGCCAGCCAGGCTACACTGGATGCTTTGTGTGCGGAAGCAAGTCTCACGACTTCCGCTCCTGCCCTCAGCGCGGTGGAAAAGGTAAACCTTCGACCGCCAAGGGTGGAATCTACATGGTGACCGATGTGGAGGAGACCGCAGCTGTGGCTATGCCGTCTTCTTCGACCAGGCCTTCATCGATCGAAGATGCCTGGGCTGCTCATGTGGCGAATCCAGATCTCCGTGGACACGCCGTTTTGGACACTGGCGCAACGGAGACAGTGACTTCGCTGGCTGCATTGGAAGCCATTCACAGGCGAAGGACAGAATTGTTGGGTCACACTGATCATGTTGAAGTTGTTCCGGGTCCGGGGAAAGTTTTTAGGTTTGGTAATGGTCAAACACAACAATCAGAAAGTTTTGTTTATTTGAAGCAGCAGGTAGGAAACCATGAGATCAAGTTGGACGCGTATACGATAGATGCGTCAGGAGTGCCCCTGCTGCTGGGGATAAGAACCCTTGAGAGGTTAGGTGCGATCTTAGACACCAAGCAAGGTTTCTTGGTGATGAAGACGGTCGACCCGACCCTGGTAGTCCCTTTGAAAAGGTCTCCGACCGGACACCTTCTTTTGGATTTGTGTTCCAATTGGCTCGATGGTGGTGCCAAAATCCTGTTCCAGACCGAGATTTCTCCCATGTCGGTTGAGGAAGAAGCGTTCAATGTCGTGAGCTTTGATGGAGTTTGGAATGATTTTGAGAAGGTGAAAGGTAATGAGGTGGAAAGTTTTCAGCAGTCAAGTTCATCACCTACAGCACCCCACTCGTGCGCGGACATTGACATCGTTGCGCACACCTTCACCTACAACAACCGAGCTGCGTTTGATGATGTTTTTGTGGTTTTTGATGATTCAAGTTTGATGCAAGTTCATGAAGAAACTGTGCAATTTCAGAACATGAACATGACCACTTCCAGTACCACATCTCACATGTCACGTTCTTCAAGTTCCAGTGGAGCCAGAACCTCAATGCTCTTACCGCCTCATCATTCAGCGGACCAAGACCAAGCAATGAGCTTGAGGATTCTAGCCCTCCTGGCTTCCACCTCACTTCTTGCTGTTCATGGCGCAGCCGACGGCCAAGATCGCTGCGACCCCGAAAGTGGCTGCGAAACCGGCTACAAAGCCGAAAGCCAAGGTGAGCTGGGACACCAAGTACGATGCCTCTCGCACCACGGGACCGGATGTGAGAGACCCCCGCTGCCAGGGAGCTCCATGCTACGGCAGCCATGTGACGGCCAAACCAGGCCGCGGGTCACCATCGGGCAGCAATGCCCACGGCTCGTGGGAAGCATGCGAGAAGTGCCTACTGAGGCTGTCATACACTCCGGCCTTCGGAGCCCATGCGCTCCATCGCAAAGCAGGACCACTACCTTCGGACACGGCCAACATGGTGTCCAAGGTAGGTCCCAACAATGCTGGCTACAACGACAAGATGAAGGACCGCAGCATTGCCTTGGATGCAGCGGAGGTGTCAGCAGAGAAGAAGCTGGAGATGGTGCGTGCCCAGAAAGCCGCTTGGATGAAACAGCAGAAAGAAGGAAGCCCAATGACCAATTCGACAGGGGCAACGGCGTCGGAAGTTCCTCCAGTGACGCCAACTGTCCAGTACTCCGAGGAGATGGGAACAACACCTGGAAGAAAAGCTCGGAGACCAGAGGCGACAGCCGAACAGTTGGAGTACGACGGCCGCTCCACACAGTCTTGGAGCGAGGTGGCTGGAACGCCGCCGACATCGACTCCATGAATGAGCTCAACTATGAGGCAAAGGTTGACCCGAAGTTCCACGTTCAGGACTTTGACAACCAGGCGTTCTTCAAGAAGGACGACATGGATGACTATGACTTCAATATGGATGTTGAAGAAGCGTGGATGACCAATGCAACCTTTGACCAGATGGAGCCCAGTGAGAAGAGGATGTTGAACGATGCCCTGCACTGCCCCTACGAAGATTTGGAGGAGTGCTTTGGCAACCTGATAGCTCAGAGTGATCAACATCGTCAACTTGACCTTATGGAGCTTTGCTGTGAGAAGGACAGCCTGCTGTCCACCTACATGGAGAAAGGTGGAGGCACAGCTTTCAGAGCTGGTCTTTTCAATGGCTTCGACCTCATGACGGAGCATGGAACGCAGCTGGCCATTGCAGCTGTGAGACGTTTGAAGCCGAAGCTTCTTTGGGCCAGTTTTCCATGTGGGCCGACCTCTCCGATACAGGCTTTGAATGAGCTGACGGAAGAGGGGAAACGCAAAAGCCGTGAACGAGTTCGTCGCTCACGGAAGCTTGTGAGAAATGGGATCAGAGTTTTGGAAGCTCAGGTTCTTGAAGGAGGACAAATCGTCCAAGAATGGCCCAGGTTCAACAAAGCTTGGAAGTTTCCCGAGATCTTGGAGTTTTGGCAAGCTCTTGGAGTTCGTGAACCTTGGGAAGACGTTTTGTTGGATGGTTGCTGCTATGGCCTTCAAGTGCCTGAAGGTTTTCTCAAAAAGCCTTGGTGCCTACGTTGCTCAAAGGTAGGTGTCTTCACCTCGATGGCAAGACAATGCCCTGGAGGACATCAACATGTACCTACAATGGGTGGCAACCGCACCAAGCACTCTGCCCTCTACACTCCACGGCTATGCCAAACAGTATGCCATGCTTATCTTCAAGATCAAAGAGCTGGCGCTGCATTTGGAGCTTTGGAGATGGAAGTGGACCGTGAAGGTCTCAAACAAATGACAGATCAAGAGCCGCAACACTTGAGTCAGAGTGTTCTCAAATTACACCGACTCTGTGGCCATCCTGGCAATCGGGCTTTGATGAAAACCTTGGCTGCTCGAGGTGCTGATGGCCGAACCTTGGCCGTTGCTGAAAAGCTCAACTGCATGGAATGTTTAGAAGGTCAAATGACCAAGCCTTCCACCAAAGTGGCTTTGGAGAAAGAAGAAGTGATTTGGAGGACTTTGCAAATGGACACCTTCTACTTCAAGTATGGCGACCAAGTCCATCACTTCCTCCTTATGTTGGATGAAGCCTCAGGTTTTTCGGTGGTGAAACAGTTCTCAGTTCACAGTGACGAGGACCACCAGAACATCACCACTGCCGAGACCCTGGAGATCCTTCAACAGTGCTGGTTTCAGTACTTTGGCATGCCTCACAGGATCAGATGTGATCTTGAAGGCGCTTTCAGAGGTGATCTTTTAGAGATCTTTTGCAAGGAACGCGGAATAGAACTCACACTATGTCCTGCAGAACATCATGAATCAATTGGAGAAGTTGAACGTAGTGTGGGTGAGCTGAAGAAGAAGATGACCGCTTACTTGCGGAATGAGGCCGACTCGTCTCCCTCTGAAGCCGCTGCTGAAATGTGTGGTGCTCACAATCGCATTGCACGGATTGGAGGCTATGCTCCCAACCAATGGGCTTTTGGCCGTGATGTGGATGAAAGAGATAACTTGGCTCTTGCAAGTGCTCAGAGCGATCCCTCATCTGAGATGCATCGCAGTCTTCAACGACGACTACGAGCTGAAGGTCGCTATCGTGAACTTCAAGCACAGGCCAAGATTTCTCGAGCCCTCAATGCAAAGGTCCAGAAATCCACACAGTTCATCCCTGGTGACCTGGTCTACTACAAAAGGTTCAAGACCCCAGCAGATACACCTGCTCATGCCTTGCTTGACACGCCTTCTATGAAAGTGTCAAGGTGGTTTGGACCTGGACGTGTTTTGGCGTCCGAGACCAGAGTTTTGGATGAAGGAGCGACACGTGCTCCATCAAATGTGGTTTGGATTATTTCACAAGGGCGTCTCAAGAAGACCCACTCAAGCCAATTGCGCCATGCCAGTGAGCGTGAGAAGCTCATCGCTGAAGCCACTGAGGCACCAACATTGCCCTGGACATTTACCTCCCTGGGACGAACCTTGCAGAAAGGGGAATATGAGGATTTGACCAAAGAGCCGCCTCGACGAGGACGACCTCCTGGCTCACTCAACAAACCAAAGGTCACAATCTTCAAGCCCAAGCGAGACGCAACCTCTTCTGCTTCAGCGTCCAGACCTGCAGATTCACCTGAACCTACTCAGCCTGACATGGTGGACTCTGATGAAGAGTTGATCCCCGATGATGATGGATTACCTCCTGAAGATCAACGAGATTCAGGACAAGATCAACCTTCTGCAGAAGTTCCAGGTGAAGAAAGGCCGGAAGACCTTGATGTGGATCGTCTTTTGGAAGATCCTCGCTACATGCCTATGAGAACAATTGCAGATGAAGAGCTGAAGAGAAGGAGGACTGAGTTTGCAAACCTTCGGAGATCTCATGAGATGGCCGACCGCCCCTTTCATGTGATGAAACAACTTGGAGATCCCGCTGCTGGACCACCTGCTCCCAATTTTTGGGTAATGGACGACTCCGAGAATGACATCTTTGGCGTCATCATCGACATGCCCAAGGATGAGACGGAGTGGAAAAAGGTCCTGAAGAACCCTGCCAAATTTGCAGCAAAGTCAGTATCGAAAGGTGCTGAAGTTGCCTGGCACAAACTCAATGCTACGCAACGTGCTGCGATGGCTGAGGCAAAGCAGTTGGAAGTTTCCCAATGGGTGCAGCAGAAAGTTTGCGAGCGTTTCAAAGGTGTGATTCCACCGAGTCGTTTGATGAGAACTCGATGGGTTTTGGTTTTCAAGTCGGTTGATGATGATGAGACAAAGGTGAAGTGCAAAGCACGAATTGTGCTGCTGGGTTTCACTGACCCTGACCTTGGCAACCTGGAGACCGCCGCCCCAACTTTGAGCCGGCGATCCCGCCAACTTTGCCTTTCCCTGTCGACTGTGAGACGCTGGAAGACCTACAAAGCTGATGCCAAATCTGCGTTTCTACAAGGTCGTCAGACCCAAAAGCACAGAGACATCTTCATCACACCCGTGGCCGAATTGGCCCAATCAATGGGCATTCCTCCCGGTGAAGGAGCTCGCATGTTGAAGGCCGCATATGGTTTGGTCTCTGCCCCTCGTGAATGGTTTGGCGAGGTGGATGAAGTGGCCGCCAATAAATGTGCCATGAAGAGGCTCAAGACAGACCCTTGCATCTGGATCAAACAGGATGCCCGGTCTGGAAGGACCATTGGCTACTTTGCCAGTCACGTTGATGATTTCTTGGTGGCCGGCGAGTGGGAGAATCCAGAATGGATCAAGACTGTGGAACTCTTCAAGCAGGCCTTTGTGTGGAGCCCCTGGGAAGAACAATCTTTTGCTCATTGTGGTGTTGCGCTGGAGCAAAACGCCGATTTCAGCTTCACGTTCAACCACAGCAACTACGTGGAGCAGATCAACCAGATCACCATCAATGACAAGGTGGACCACATTTCCCCTGAGGAGATGACACAAGCTCGCGCCGTGTTGGGCGCCATACAATGAAGAGCAATTCAAACTGGGCCCCAGCACTCGGCAAAACTTTCTTGGTTGCAGTCCGCATTGCCTCGAGGCTCTAAGGACATTCTGCACCAGATCAACAAGCTCTGCCGAGAATGCCACGCTCAACGTTTCCAGTCCATTGCTATCAAGAACCTTGGAATCCAAAGAGACGAAGACATAGCATTTGCATGTTGGACGGACGCAGCCGTTGGCAATAGGCCTGATATGTCTTCGACTGGAGGCTACATGGTTGCAATGGTGCATTCTGCCTTCCTCAATGGGCAGAAAGGTGTGGCAAACCCTATTTCATGGAAGAGTGGAAAACTTGGCCGAGTGGCGAAGTCTTCGTTGTCGGCCGAAATACAGGCCCTAGGTGATGGCGAGCAGGAGCTCATGTACATCAGAGCTGAATGGGCTGAGCTGACTGGCTATGAGCTCAACCTTCGGCAGCCTGAACTGGCAACTTCAAAAATCCCAGGCGCTGTGATCATCGATGCGAAGTCCGTCTATGACGCCTTCTACAAGGGCGAGGGAGCTTCATCAGCTTTTTCTATGAAAGAAAAATATGCAGCGCTGGATTTGATGGCCATCACCGAGAACCTCAGAAAACAGAACACACCACTTCTCTGGGTAGCATCGGATGCTCAGTTGGCTGACGGCCTTACCAAAGCAGCCGCCGCTGAAGCCCTACTTCATTTCCTTCAACGAGGGCAATTGTGGGTGGTGAAGTATGACCCGGAGTTCATTGCAGCAAAGCGTAAGAAGGCCAAAGGGCTTTCTGAGAAGATTTTAGATGATTTTGCTGAACCACCGTCCGACATGACGTGGCAACAGCTCATCCAACGACATGATTCTACCAACTACAGCGAAAACCTTTGGGGCATGCCAGTTTTCATGGTTCAGCCATTTGAACATTTCACTTCCGTTGGCAGAACATGTCATTCATATGTTTGTGACGTTCCTTTTACATCTCAAAAGGGACCCCTTCAGCCTGTCTAACAAACGTTAGACTTTGCGGCTACTGTTTTCTTTTGGTGCAAACAGTTGCACCTCCTGCGACGCCATACTGGTGGCTAGAAGCCGTTCGTGAGGATTGGCTGAAAAGGAGCGACAGCAAATCGAGAAGTGCAACAAGTTTCTTTGGGTGCAACGTGCGCCACTTGCTGTTGTCTTGTGCTACCAGTGTCGCAGTGACAATCAATCACCCTTGTTGTTTTTTTATATTCGCGTGAAATGCCCTGTGGTCTGCTGTGCGACGGTGCGAACGTTTGGTCAGGCTATGCTGCAGAGTCGACGCGGCTCTTTGACATTGGTGTTCGACTGCTGCGGATGGACACCATCATCCGTGAAACTGCCAATGATCCCAGCACGATTGGCCGAGCATATTCCGTCACCGTGCTGCTTGGCAGAATTTGCCGGAATTGGGGAACACATGGGAACACATTCAAATGAAGTCAAGAAAACATGAAAAGGAGAAATGAGAAATGGTCACTTCAAGAGCCCTTCTACCACACACCCTTTACAGGGCTGTAAATCCCCATTCCCTTTGCGGTCCCAGCTCCAAATGCAGAGACCCAGGTCCAATGCTGGGCTCTATGGCCTTGGGCCCAAAGATGGCCGCTATGGCCAGTTGAGACTGCAGAAAATCTACTTTGGAATCTCTGCAGCGATCAGTGGATCGTTGGTCTCAGCTTCATGCTTAACGGTGAATGGCGATTTGCTGGTGACTGCGGTGAGTGCCGCCCCCTTGGTGAACCGATCGCATCTGGAGACCTTTTCTGATTCGATGATTGGATCTTTGACCATCGCTGCAATGCAGAAGAAGCCCTTGTCAAGGAAGGGAACGCCACTCGTGGAGAATCCACTTGATCCCAGGGGTGGTCTGCCTTGGTACTACTTGCTGGAGACACCGACCCTCAGCCACACGCCAGCTGTATGTGCTGATTGGGTTTTAATTTCAGGATCCAATCCTTCGCAAATATGTCTTGCATTCCTTCCTGAGCCTTGTCAAATGAGGAAAGGTACCCTACAATGTCCAGAATACGAGGAGCTAAAAAGCTATTCGATGCCAGCATTTGATGTCGACAAGTACGCTCCTTGTCAAAATTGTTAGGATCCCTCGCTGCTTGAACAGGCTCTGCAGATAGTATAGTGTGATACAGTATGATCCTGCATGTGTTCTTGTGTGAGCCAACTAAAGCATTCTCGACTTGCACGCATGTCATACCATGATAGTTTTGGTGTGCGGCTTGCATCTTGCATCATAATGAGACACCCTGTGCAGTTCAAGGTCGGAGTTTGGTATGAATTGGCCTTCCACGACATTACGCAATGTAACGGCTGCGGCTGCACCCAATTCAACATGACACGGCATGGCAACGTCATTGAGGACATGCCAGTGCCTCAGTCTGCCTCAGCTGTGAGCGTTCTGGGTGGCCAGTGGCTGGGACAGTGGCTCGAGGTTTACGGTCACATGCCCATGGCCATGGACGAAGGGGGTTGATGGGCCATGGCTGCCGGGATACAATGTGAAGCTTGACCAGCAAGAATTACAGATCTGTCATCGGATGGGAATCAAGCAAGAGATTATATAAAGGAGCTGCAAGGAGTCAATGGCACTAATTTTACTTGAAACAGTTGAAACAATGGAAGAACCGAGGAATGGCAACAGACGCATGAACATGCGCGGGACTCAGGCTAATAACGCAGTTTTCACATTCTTGGTGCACCACCACACCACCACCACTATTGCTCAATCCGTATCAAAGTAACATATAGCTTCAGCCACATGTGGTTCTTAGTTTTTCGTAGTTGTTTGACAATATTCTGAGGTGGACATGTAACATGACCATGTACTACAAGCCGCAGAACCCCGGTGTGATGTTGGAGACAGGCTTCGGTCAGGAGTGTCTTGGTGCAAAGCTGAGCAAGTTGACGTTGAGGGCCAGCCTTCCAGCAAGCCCTTAAGCAGGTTCGACAACATGGTCCTGGAAATCTGGAGCGATCCTGAAATTACCGCGCAAACTGGCTATGAGTACACCCGATCCATTCAGTTCCAATGCCTAGGCAGGGCTGGTTGAGCTGACATCCGTTGACGTCCGTTATCTCCACACGGATCTTGACCTTCATCGCTGGCAGGTTCCGAGAGAGATGGGATTACCTTCACAGGAATCAACTTTCTCTCCCGGGTTCCCATTGTTGAGCCCGCTAAGCTGCATTAGAATCATTAGACGCCGCTGTCATATCGACAATATATCGGAAAAAAAGTCCTTCATTTATCATCCATGTATCACCCACGTATCATGCATTTATCATCCCTATCATTCCATGTCCTGCCTAGGCCTTCGATGATGCAAGAGATGTTTGTACGTGCTCGCGCATTGGGCTTGGAGCCATATGGATCCAATGACTGGCACTCAGGGAAACGGGAACACAGCAGAGGTATTACCAGGTTTCATCCATCCCCACTTGAGTTTCCTTGAGAATGGGCTGAGTGGGGCTCGGGCTGGATGCCAAGGACATGCATATCGTTGAGCACGTGACTTGGCTGCCACTGACTAATGCATCCTGAGATGGTTTCCAACTCAGACGGCACAAGATTGACAAACTTTGGAATAAGATGTGGGTGGCTGTGTTCAACCCCTGTTGGTTGATGATAAGCAGGGGTTTTACTACCCAATATATTGGGGATTATCACTGGTAATCACAATCCATGAGGGGAATCCCTATTGACCAACCAGTATATTTTCATGTCAGACGATGTGAGATGATTTTGCAGTCTCAGCCTAGTTACTCATGATCACATTTGCCAGATTGTTGGCATTAGTGCACTTGTTTCATAACACTCAGGCAGGATGCAGATATCCGCAAAGCACTGACAAGTCTTGGATGGGAGACAGGCCAGAATGGCCCTTCCCTGTTGTTGCCGGTGATTTTGGTGCTCAGCTTTAAAGAAGCTTGAAAAACCGGAACGAATAGACACCAAATCGTCAAGCGAAATTGATTGTTTGCAGCCATCCACTCAAAACGAGCCAGACGGAGACCGACACCCCAGACTCATCGTTGCTTGACGCTGGAAAAGAGATGGCTCTACGCATCTTGCTGGCCAGTGAAAAGCAGGCCCAAAGAAAATACAGCAAGTGCGAGATTGAGGTAGTGCAGGCTGCAAGTTCTCAGACCTGCAGGTCCTTTTTTTTATTGGCAGGGAGACGCACATACACACACACATGAGCCTGAAGAAAGAGAGAAATACATATGAACCGCAGCAAAATACCCTTGCTTCATGGCAAATCATGTTGCATCACGACAAAGATAAAGAGATCGTTAAAAATCAGAATTCCTGGGTGCCTTGAAGATGCTGCATTCAAAGTCCAGAGTTCGTGCTCATGTTTATCATTTTTTGAATAGCAACTCTGCGCGGTTTTCGGGCGCAAGTGCTGGCTGTGCTTGATTTCGAGAGCTTTGCTTGATGGAAAAAGATTCAGCATCATGGCTGCTGGCATAGCAATGGGGCAAACAGCACGGCACACATGATTCTATCGCTTTGGTTCGATTGGATCTCATTTCATTGTGAGAGTTGATGTTGATCATTCATGAATCACATTGCCATGATGGGCCGCGAAGGGTGATATGCTTTTGATTACTCTACACTGTACACGCGTGCGCACAGACACACACACACACACCAACAATATATCAAAATATATCAAGCATCAACACACACACACAATAGTCATTCCTAAAAAGGTAGAAAAGTAAATCCCCATCAAAATAGTGAAGATTCCCTTTTCTATTTTCTACCTTTTTTGATTCTTGTTGGAGGTTACTGAAAATATCATTACCATTCATTACCAGACCTTTCCAAAAACGGGGAGGTGAGCGACGACTTGGATCCACCACTTCGTTCTGGGCTGGTGCCCATGGCGAAACTTGGGACTTCAGCCGAAGTGCAACGCGAAGGTTTAGGAACTTTGGTCTTCGGGAAGACATGCAGCCAATTTATGCCAATCTGAATCAATTTGATCGGGTTATATCATGTTATATCCAAGAATCTTCTTGCAACTGCCTGATTCTTTTTTTTCAACATCAAAGGTTTCGGAGTTTGTCGGAATCTTTTGCAGGGACTGGTGCCGCATGGTACCGCCAGGCCCCACCTCGGCCACCACCGTCCGTCATCTTGTCGTCTCTCTTTGATCAAGGAGGACAAAGCAAGACATGGAAAAACCTCTGCGTTGCCATGGGAAGACAGATGAGCCGCGTTCAAAACTCTCGGCAATTGATTTTAGTATTCGGTGGAATTTATTCTTCCAAAACTTGAATGGCGTCACACGCGCGCAAGCTTTTCACAAGCTTCGCGCAAGCTCATGTACGCGCAAGCTTCGCGCAAGCCCGAAATCACGTAAACACTTTAAACATAAATTTAAATCTAAATTGATATACAACGAAAAGGGTTACACAACATGGTGGCTCCTATGGCGTAAACCAACATTCGAGCAATCTGTAGGCTTTGGGCTCGGGTTACAAGAATTGCTCAGGGAATTTCGCGCAAGCTTCGCGCAAGCTTCGCGCAAGCAAAGGGGTTCCTGGCCACTATGCCCCCCAGCAACCGGTAGCAAGATGATCGTAGACTCGCAAACAAGCAAAACCACCTTGTAGCATCAAATACCTCGCAAAGCTGCGTGTACTGATTGTACTTTGGCTGAAGGCGATACACTCACTGGAGGCCATCAGGGACTAGACTGCTGGCAAAATAAGAACTGCGCTGAGTCGAGCCTAGAAGTCGAGAAGCCATCGAACAAGCCGAGAAGTCGAGAAGCCGAGAAACCACCGAACGAGCCAAGGAGCCGAGAATCTGAGAAGCCTAGAAAACCAAGTCCGAAAACAGCTTCGCGCCTACATCGCGCAAGCAAAAGTGCACGAAAACTCAGGACTTCATCTTCGCGCAAGGTCGCGCAAGCTCCGTTTGAAAAATTGACCGCGCGCAAGCTCCCATTGTGGTCGCGCAAGGATGGCGCAAGGATTTCGCGCAAGGATGAATAATTTCCATTCAGTTTTAATTGAAGTTTTGAACACCGCTCAGATGTGATAATTGATGATAATTGTGATATGATCTGACTTGAATTTAAGATTGTCATGTGTGGGTGCGTGTGTGCCTGCAGTCCGAAGCAAGTTCCATGGCGAAATCAAGAGCTTCAGCGAAGCCAAAGGTTTGGACCTGAGCTGTTGGTCAATTCATGGTCGAATATTTTAGAGCAAATGCATTTTCATGCAGTACCCTCTGGTAAATAAACATAGACCCTGAAAATCACCAATTTTTAATGGAAACTAATCTTTCCAACCCCTATCTGCCAGGGTCTATGTTAATTTACCAGAGGGTATCATGCGGCTAGATACCTTGACTCTCTTTATCTGTCTTTCCATCATAGTTGCCCAGTCTTTGATCCCATGTTCTTAGGCTACGGCTTTATCAGTTGTGAAAAGGTGTGGAATCTGCTACGGCGCCTCGGTATTCCATGGTATTCCATGCTATTCCATGGTATTCCATGCTATTCCTGCAGCACAGTTGAGATCGCTCAGACAGCCCTGCCGCAATGGATCAACCAGGTGTGACGTTCACTTCTCCTTGAGCGAGGTCTATGATGTGGATCCACAGCAGGTCAGCTTCTGGATTTCTGGATGTTGTTGGTGGGTTCAAACGTTTATATAAACTTTTTTTTCACCATCAGTGGTAACACTTTTATAATATCACTTAATATCACTTATATATATATACTTATATAATTATACAACCATGTGTAGACATGATCTATGAACTTACTAAGTACTAGTAGTTCAATTAACCATTAGTGACTTGCATGGACAGGCCGGAGGACGGATAGGATTTTCCAAAGAACAGGATCGAGGATTTGGGTCTCCCAGCCCAATCTCTCTCCATCGTTGTTGCTCCGCAGATCTCCGAGAAGGTGCGGGTAGGGTCGAAATGCACCTTTTGGTGCAACCTTGATCGCAGCGGACGGCCCCAGGCCTGGTTCTGCCGAGGACTGGTGAGGTATTTTGAGTTTTGGACATTGAAGCCTTGAAGCGCCATAAATCCATATAAATCCAACATTGGCACATCAACAAGCCACAGGTTGGAGGATGTGGGATGTTGGAGGATTTTGGAGGATGTTGGCGGTTTTTTTTCCTTTGTGTGCCTGTTCCTTCCTCGTGTGCGCGTGCCTGTTCCGTTTCAAGATTCGGGCATGAATTATATGTATATATATACATATACACACACACATATATATATATATTTGTCATTGTGTTAAAGGCAAAACTCGTCCAGATGCCCCGTGCTGATTTAGGCAGCATTCCCATATTAATGCCTATGCTGGGGGCCCATGCTATGCCGGTATCAACCCCCAATGGCTTGATCAGTGTTGGCGTTGCTTGGGTTCAGCGGTGAGGCCAAGGTGGTTCGGATCACCGAGGTGGCAGAAAGGCAGACGTGTCAAGTCTCCTGTTGTGATTGGGATGGAGACACAAAGATGGTGGCCTGAAATGCCTGAAATGGAAGACAGACTCAGTGCTAAACCAGGGTTTCTGAACCGGGATAACGGGTGTTTGTTGTTTGGGGAGGGAATGTTGGTTTAATCATTTAATCCCACAGAATTGTAAGAAATGCATCATATCTTATTCATATGGTGTATGAATACGTCCTGCTAGATCTTGAAGAACTCAAAATTAGCTTCGAAAGTAAAGTGCATAAAGTGCCAATAATTCTTCATTGGCTCGTGGCTAGTGCCCTTCCGCTCACATGGTCAGAGGCCGCCAGAAAACAAGACCCTGACCGAGACGGATCAAGTAAAGTGCCCTACGAAATCCTGCCAAAATGAAAGCATTGGCAATGGGAGATTCTGCTCTTCTGATTCTTCGAATCTCCATGCGAAAAGGTACGAGGGCCGTATCAAGTCATTCAAAGAAGACACAGGGTATGGCTTCATCAGCTGTGATGAGACGCGATGCTCCCAGCAAGCCTTTGACTTGACTCATAAAGTCAGAGTCAGAGTCAGAGGCCCTCCCACCAAATCATAATAATCCCTGAAGTGTACGAACAGAAAAGTAATGTGGACACTGCAGACAGCACAGGGGCATCCAAACTTGACGGATGATAAGACAGTCTTTGAGTGTGAGACACATCTCTGCACCAAGAAACTCTTTCATCAAGTATCTGAGTCAATATGCTTGCCATTAATCATTAGTACAAGCAATCATTTACTGCCATGTGGCCATGTACTGTATGGTAGTAGCGATCCACGGCGTGCCATACATTGTCCTACGAGGTTCAAAAAGTTCAATCGGGACGTCTTCCTCCATCACAAGCAGCTTGCCAACTGCAAAGCCAAGGCGCTGGTGGTCCAGTGGTTCAACGTAGGCTGTGCAAACTCAGCCTGAGATTCTGGGAGCATCAGCCCACGACTGCCGCAATGTCAGGTTGGAGATTTGGTCCGGTTCAAGATCTTCGAGTCCAAGGATTGATCGCATCGCCGGTTTTTTGGAACCAAAACCTGAAATATTATTGGTGCAAGTGATAGTGACTGATACATACTAATACTGGATGCATAGATGCCATGACCCATCATGACCCTGTAAGTTGGATGGAGTGAGACGAGACGCACCGAAACGGCTGAAGAAATTCATTCCCATGTCTGCCATCCACCTTGGCAGGGGCAGCCCAAAGCGTTGGGCTTGGAATTGATTGAGGCAGATTTGCGCGGGGCGAGATGGATGTTGCCAGGAGTGACATGTGACATGTGACATGATTATACATGATTGACATGCAATATGTATCGCAGTGACGTTCAGAAAATGCGGCAAGTT